TCCTCGACCTCGCCCCCGCCCCCTACTCCCACACCCCCCGCCTCCCCTGACCACCACCCCCGAACTCCCCCTGCCCTCTATCCAACATCCCTCCCCCGCTCCCTGCCCCCTTACAGCGCTGCCTGGAGCCCCGGGGGCTGGCAGCACTACAGCCACGCCGCCCAGAGCACCAGGACAGGCAGCCGCACCGCCTGGCTGGAGCCAGCCACGCCACCATGCAGCACAGAGCACCGGGTCAGGCTGCAGCTCTGCAGCTGCACTGCCCCAGGAGCTCACAGCCCTGCCGCCCAGAGCATTGCTCTGGCAGCTCAGTGAGCTGAGGCTGCCGGGGAGGGGGCTAGCCTCCCGGGCCAGGAGCTCAGGGGCCGGGCAAGAGGGTCCCGCGGGTCGGATGTAGCCCGTGGGCCATAGTTTGCCCACCTCTGGTCTAGAGTGTGGGAGGAAAGATGTACACGGACCACGGAGCTGTGAACCCAGGTAAGTCCAGGCTTAACAAATCTCACTGATTTGACTTCATTGGGAGCTCACCGAATTATTCTTAGCATAAATAATATTTGCTATCGCCTCGTGGTTCAGTATTTCTGATACAGATGATTCACTGTGAGTGTGCATGGGAAAATGGTAATTGTGGGACTAAATCTGGGATACAGGTAATGGTAGTGCGTGACAGATTAGAAGATTCTGGGTGCCATTAAATGTGGACAACTAGCCATGTGTTAATATCTGATGAAGAAATAAGATTTTCTTCCCAGGAAATTAAAATTCTAGCAGCTGTATTTTTGGCATGGATGTTTATATCATGACCAGTGGGCATACATTTCTCTGAGGACTGAAACCTAGCCTGCAAGGTCACTTAGCTGAGGAGTGAATTTTTTTAGACCTCTCAGTTTGAGCAGCACATACCATGTGAAATAATCAACTGCCATGTCCAAAAATTAAAAGCTTGTTTTCCTGTAATAGACCTTCATGATTGGGTGATATTTAACCTTCTCTATGACGGGACTGGGCCGTTCATCCAATCAGCAAGGTGACACGTTGTAATTGCCTACAGTTTGGCTACAGGGGGTCCCCAGTATTCATCTCCCCCTTATCCGTTGTTTCAGATATCTGTCGCTCATCATTAGGGGAACGTGTTCCAATTTACGTTGGTCCTAATCCGCATATCCATTGTTTGCACGGATCAGGACCAACGTGAATTGTAACACGTTCCCCTATTGTACAGTACTGTACTGTACTTGCATCTGTTGGACATGTTCATGGCTTATTACCTACGGAGGACGTTGACTGAGGAGACAGCAGGTGAAGGAAAGCCCAATGTAAAGGAGTTTTGGAAGTCCTATGACATCTTGAATGACGTGGAAAACATTGACGCGTTGTGGGAAGAGGTCACTTTGCAATGTATGAACGGCATTTGGCACTGTGCATGGCCAGATGCTGTCCACAGATTCATGGGATTTGATGCCGTTCCTGCTCTCGAGCAAGAAATTGTCAAGTTGGTGAAGGATGTCGGCTTCGAGGAGGTGGAGGAGGAGGATGAACAGGAGTTGTTGGAGTCTCATGCTGAGCTACTGACAAATGAGGAACTGATTGAGCTGGACCAACCACAAATATCCGAAGAAAGCAAGGACGATGATGACAATGACGTAGGGCAGGAAGCCAGGAGTCTGATGACAAAGAATCTCTCCCATTTCTTTGGATTGCTGGATGAGATGACCGAAATCATACAGAGTGGTGATCCTTTCCGTGAACGGTCTGCCAAAGTCTCCAGGGCTCTCAATGATTCAGTGGCTTGTTACAGGGAGATCTGTCATTCAAAAATTCATGCAGGAGAGCAGACGTCAATAAAATCCTTTTTTTAAGACTTCTGCAACCAAAAAGCCAGCCACGGAAAAGCCAGCCCAAGAAAATCCAGCCACCACCCTTACCTAAGTTTAGCGTAATTGATACTGTTTTATACTGTATTGCTGTACTGTATTTACTGTATTAAAATGTTCTATGTGTTGGAACAGTGTTAGTAGTGTTCTACATGATTTTATTCAATGTTTTATGTGTAAAATGTGTACTGTATGACCTGTCATTGTAAAAAGGTACAATTGGTGAAAAGAGCATTGTCACAGGCGAGTGTGGTGAAATTGTGAACGCATCCCCCTCCCCCCCCCCATTCCATTATTTCTTATGGGGAAAAATTCCCCAGTATATGTCGTTTCAGTATCCATCACCCTTTTCAAGAATGCAAACCCAATGTATACAGGGACTCCCTGTATTTTATCTGACAAATTTTGTTGGACTAACCCCACCTCTGACATACCCCTGACCCCACAGCCCAGCCTCTACACAAAACTTTAGAAGCTAGAGGAATGAACCGGCAAGGAAAAATAAACCTTTTACAGTCAGCAAAGTCGTCTTCTCAAGGCATTGTGTTTATTGCAAGAAAGTAGAATAAGTTAAACAGAATAACTCTCCAGTCTGAGGCCTGGTCTACCCTAAAAAATTAGGTTGACTCAGTTATGTCACTTAGGCATGTGAAAAATCCATAGTGCGCTGAGTGACGTGGTTACGCCAATCTAATCCCCGGT